CAAATAACCCAAAGAACCCACTGTCCTGTTTCCTTACTGCTGTGCTGCAACCAGTGGTAGAATAATAAGTAATACTCAAACCTTTTTCTTGAGGGCCTGCCGCGGATAGGTGTAGAAGATATGTTCATGACCAGAAGCCCTTCCAAAATGAACCGGTTCGATTCCCACCTTACCCAAACTAAATGTCCAGTATTTGGTCCAAATGATTAGCTACAGAATGTGGCTATGATACAAAAATAATGAGTTCATTTGTATAGCATTCATGCATAAACATAAAGTGCTTCACGTCAAAGAATCAAGATGAGATACTAATTTCCAAATATGATGCTGCAGTTTAATTTATATTATTGCAATAATAACAATATATGTTTATTGTGCAGATGAGCATATATAAATGTTTGATTATTTAATTTTCTATGTATTACCACCCCTAAAGTAAAGACAGTCAGAGGGGCGCTTTCAAGATAATTTATTGAAAAAATACAGATGCACAAAAACAAAATGCCCCTAAAACATCATATATAAAACAAATGAACAATACATTTAATATACAGTATATATACAGTCGATGGTGTATCCATAAACATATTTACAATATAAGTGCTGAAACAATAATCGTCAACATTATCTAGTTTCAGCTTCTCAAATGTCCGTATTTATTCTAGTGCTTTAAATGTATACATTCTAATAAAATAATGATATTCATTCTAATGCAATAATTATATTTATACTAGTTAAATAATTAAATTAATAATAATACAATATATTGAACAGTGTTGTGTGTGAGTGTATATTTGGGGTTTTGGTGAGTTCGTGGTCACTTCTTCTTCTCTGTGATCCATCTGTCCCTCTCAGCCTCATAAAGTCAGACTGTGAGAAGTCTCTCCGGGTCTTCTCCTTCACCATGTCCTGGTCCTTGTGCAGGGAGAACACTCTGGAGGGGCAGTAGATGTACTTCCCTGACACCCCGGGGAAGCTGCTGCACATGAGGTTCACTGCTGGGACCCTGCTTCAGAGGCTGGTGACAGACCCTGCACAGGCCACCTGTTGGAAGTTGCACCGCTGACTCCCTCTTCTTCCTCTCTGCCACCTTCCTCCACTCAGCCCCCCTCTGCTTCCTCAAGGACAGTGTCTCTCTGTGTTTCCACAGGGGCAATATTCTGAGATGATGAATCTATGAGAGTGAGATACAAACAGGGAAGGCAAGTGAGACATACACATTAAAACACATGAGTAATATACACTCTGTAACTTAGATTTGATTTTAAAACGAGATACACTGCTAGTATGGGAGGACTACATACTTTGCCTCAACACATTGGGAGCTCGTTGATAGTAAGAAGGCCAATATGAATGTGATTAATGAAGACAAGCTAATGAGTAACTGTTAATGCTGACATATAAACGTTACATACATACAGCAAATATAACGTTACGTAACCTTGATGTGCTAACATTACATCAGCGAACAACAAACCGAGTTAGAACCTTACAATGCTAAACAACAAACATGTAAGCAAACTATTAAAACAGTTTACCCACAACTGAGAGGCGTTCATTAAGTACTTGAACAAATGAGCCGTACTTACGTGTGATATGTTTGACTGTTTGTCCGAAGATAGAGCCGTGATGAAACTCTGTGGAAAGCACAGGTTGTTTACTGTCGTCTGCTGCTGTAGATGCTGCACGTCTGTCACTCAAAAAGGAAAACGGGGTCTACTTACTTGTATGGAAGGGGAGAAGCAGCGCCCCCAGAATCGTGCTTGTGGACAAAAATATATGACACCCGTAGTGATAAGAACTATCATAGAGAATCGTTTTTATCAACCTAAACCGTTTTCCATTCATTTTCAATGGTAGTCCTAAACCACTACGGGTGTAATATATCTTTGGCCACCAGCAGCGCTGTGGAGCCGAAAGGACGTAATATATCTTTGGCCGCTAGTTGCGCTGTGGTGCCGTTTTGCGAGTGAAAGACTTTCTCCGGTGACAGCCCGCATTTTCTGGAGCTCTTCGCTGTGTGGACGCTACGTTAAACGGTAAATCATTAAGATGAATAACAATGAATTTAAATGTCATGATAGTTAGTCTGGGCTGTCTGACATTCACGTGAAAGCTATAAAGATAAAGTTAGTTGTGTAGTTGTCTTCAGTTTTATTCTTCATACGGGTTCATTCATGTCCGACTTTGTTGTGTTTTTGTGGCCGAAAGTATCAAGTTAACACGAACGTGTATTTAAATATATGATTTAGCGATTACTGCTGTACGTCGGTGAATATAGAGGCTGACCAGCGGCCGGTTAACGTAAGATATACTCTGTTACTTTTCATACACGTAACGAAAGAACAACAAGCTATGACCGGACCCGGTGCTTCATTTGAATCACGTTAACGTGAAATAAACACACACGTCTCCGTTGTATCACGTCACGTATCGTTATTAATGCATGTAGTTTATAGTTATGTACCTTTACTGCTCCACGTGTATTTGACAGCATTAGTTACTAGTTATTTAGCGGATTAAGGATATCAGACATAATATACTCAACTAATAAATGTGTTATTACAAATTAAACTACCAGCAGTGTATAAAGTCATTGCAGTGATAAGCACATTAATGCCTCAATAATTATAATAATTTAATGCATAATATTCTGCATCATGAGTACTTTTATTTTTGCTCCTTAAAGTTTACTTTTTGTACTTTTACTTAAGTCAGACTTTGAGTAAGTAAGATTTGAATGCAGGACTTTTACTTGTGAAAGAGTATTTACACCATGTGGTGGTATTAATACATATTTCTTTACTGAAGTACAAGATGTGTAGACTTTCTCCATCACTGTTAAAATAATGTTGTTTATTACATTATACAAGAAGTACAAGAAGATATTCATTTAATGACGTTCTTATTCTCGTCTGTTTGCGTCTCAGTGATGGATGAAGATGAAGAGCTGGAGAGAGGGATGCTGAGTATCTCTCCTCCCCAAGCAACATGTGCAGAGCTGTGAGTAAACATTTGCTGTCTTTAATTTCTTTTTCTACCCCCTGAAGATTTAAAATCAGTTACAGTTCATACATATATACATACATGTGAAACTGCTGTGTTACTAACACCTGCATGCATGTGTTTGAAGTGTGCCATGTTGCTTCACCTGCCTAGGTTACATCATAATGACTGGCTACTGAATATTAACCCATTGAAACATGAACACACGTGTATGAATGAAGTATATATTCTTTATATATTAATGTTAGAAACAGTCTGTGTCATTGGATAAGGTTGAGAAAGGTGAAGTAACGATGCTAACAGTAGTGTTTGTATATTGTCAAAATATAAATGTCTTTCAAGGCTTTTTCCTTAGAACCATCTGCTGCACTGGCTGCACCAACTCATCTGAAGGGTTCACATAGAGGGTAAATGCATCCAACATTTAAACGTATCTGTCATATTCACTGTCCTCATATCCGTTATAAACCATTGATTATGTGTTGTGATCCTTCTCTCCTTGCAGCTCTAACTGTAAAGAGACCAGTGCCTGTTCCCCAGGACCTCATGTGTCTGCTGCCAGAAGGAGTGGGTCGTCCATCAACAGTTCCTGGTGTGTATTATTTCACCTGTATTTGCATCTTTAAATTATCCATATGTAGTTTCCATCAAAACTGTTGTTAATTCTTTAAAGTTGCTGGTGCACTGTATTCGGACAAAAAGTAGAGTTTCACAGACTACAGTGTAGATGTCATGTTACATTCTTGCTTCACGTTACTGTCAATAATAACAACATGTTTAATATTCTCTATAGTGTCAGAGGCACCCCGCATTTCTCCTGAGACGTCAGCAGAGCCCGGTCAACTGTCACCTGCACAGAGACATCAAAGTTACCATTAGAATGTTTTTCATGTCAAAAAGATGAAATCAAGTCGCACCAAAAATGGTACTAATTAGCTCTGGTTATTCTTGTCTGACTAGGTGAGCCGTTACCCAGGCCGTTAGCTCTCCCCACCCGTCCTCCTCCACAGCTCCCTGCCTACGACCATGAAGTCAGCCAGTGGACCTGTTCACAGCAGCAGAGGAGCTGGATGAAGACAGAGCTGGAATCCATGGGTCTCTGGCCAGGCTCCTTTCCTGTACACAACCTAATGAAGATGGTGTCATTGTGGCGTCTCCCTCCCTCCCCAGCCAGAATTAATCGACAGCATCTCTGATCTTCCTTCCCCAAAGTTCTTTCAGCTGGAACTGGATGCCAAAGAGCCAAAGAGGAAGAGGACTGAATTCCAGCACACAGGTCGCAAGTGTTGATTCTGTCAGATGGAACTGAAGCAGGATCCAAAGAGTCCTCACATTCACACGGGGTTCCCTGGACTAACAGGGAAGTAGATTTACTGCCCTGGTAAAGTCTTTTCCCCTTACAAAGACCAGGGCATAGAGAAGGAGACGACCTGGAATGAGTTCCAGCGTCTCCTTTTTATGAGAAAGCAAAAAAGAGATGGGAGGTTGAAAAGGGAAAATAAGAGAAAGAAAAGGGGAGTGTTCTGTCGTGTATATGTCTTTGCTCATTTTAGTAATTAGATTACTTTTTACTGGATTCATTATTATATTTGTGTTGTGTATTTGTGACCTTGCACTATGGGCTCTGTGTTCAATGTTTACTGTCCCTGTTGTGTTTAATAAATATATTTTGTTCACTAATGTCCACACGTCTCATCAATAAGTGAATCATTATAGTGAGAAGTAAATAAATATTGAATTGAAGTAATTAAGTGATTGCAATTTAAATGTTCATAATTTGGAAAACTGCAATATAATAGGGTAATAGTCATAAATATGTCAAGTACTTGATAATCTATCTGCCACTACAATCTAGTGATAATCAGTAAACGGTAAAGTTGGGTACACATTTCTTGATTTATAAATAGCTCTTTATCATTGATGAGTGGCTTTGCCCCAACTGAGACTCGAACCTGCGTCCAGGAGCTTAAAACAGCGCTATGAAAGTGGATTTTGAGCACCTTGCACAGCGTTAATAATGCTGCAATTTCATTGGCTGTCAACGAATGCCACCTATACGCGACCTCCACGGAGGCCAATAAAAGTAGCAATATTACAGTTGTTAGAGGGCCTGTAAAATTTTACGAATTCCTCTGGACGGACTGCTCTGGTCAGTAGGTGTTAGAAGACACAAGCAAAACAATGTACAAAAAGACCAAAAACAAAAAATAAATGTAACTTAGAGAAGCCATAGGGATCTGTGGACTCTCCAAAGCAGGCGCCAGCTGTACACAGTGTTCTACACATGTTTTTTTGGGGGGCAATTTTTGCCAAAACAATAAATATACTTATTTAGGCTTACAGTATATGAGCAATTGTCATCAAATGGCAATAATAAGACTATTAGGCAGTAGTCTACAGATTCAAAGTGTTTTCTTAGAATTTTTGAGCAAAAAACAAACATAAATAAATCAGACAATCATATTCAGTTTTATTCTTATTTCTTTGTGGTTATTTATTGTTATTAATAAATTGTTTAAACAACTATTAACAATTATTAAGTCAACGATGCCTTGATTACATATACATCAGTCATTGTATGGAATTATTGAGAAAGATATTTTTGTACCACCTCAAATATTGTGATATTACCCATTTTTGGCCTGAACATATATGCATTCGTCATTGTGTGGCATTTTTGAGAAAAAACATTTTTATAGCACCTTAAAAATTAAAAAAATGTGCCATTTGAAGGTACAAATTCAGTTCAGAATTTTTGCTTTGTAAAATATCTTAATTGACTGTCAGTCAGGTATTATTCATTAGCAACCCTCAAATCAAAGAATAAAGACACTTTACGCACAATTTAGGTGTATTTCCCTTTAACTCACGAGATGCAAGTAGCATGTTTTATACTTAATGTGAATATAACTCATTTAATCTAATTTCCATTATGCAATATGTATACTTTGTTGGCATCTTATTCTGAAAACCGGATGTTCGTCTGAAGAAACCGGATGTTGTCTCACGTTAATCTTTCCGCTAGCATTCAAAGTCCTTCGCTCGCTCCCGATCTGTGCCGTTTGAATGCGTTTACCGTGAATTTCAGCATATAGGTGCACTAACATTTAAGTGTCTGC